GACATCGAAATGATGGCCACCCCAGGGCCACAGTTTGGAACGGGACAGGACGACGGAGATATTTCAGATGACGCTTTTTCGCAGGGCGAGGACGAGTATCCCGTTATCCCGGCAGGGCAGCGGCATGGGGCGCCACGTGTTCTTTCCGGCACTGACTCCTCAGACGATGAGGGAAATGCGTCCGAGCAAGAGCAGGTGCCGTCTGGAACGCGCGCAGCCTCCGGAAGGCGTGCGCGTGGTAATTCGAAGCAGCGTGGTAGTCGTGGGCGCGGTCGTAGTCGTGGGCGCGGTGGTGCTGTGTCCACCCATGATTTGCCATCGGGGCCGGATGCTGTGCATTCCCAGACCGAGGGGGATCAAGCGGGCTGGACGGTAGATGCGGATGGTTGGGCTAGGGCAGGAGACGGAGCTTTGGCGGCCTCAGCCAGCCCAGACGCACTGTTTTTCTGGGACGAGCATACGAATGGCACCTCACGGAAGTGTCGGCTCTGCGGGTTCGTGTTCAATTTCTGTGTATGTTTCCTGTTCATCACCGATTGCCGACAGCAAAATATATGCTTCCACGACCAGCTTAACTCCGCGACGCCAGCACTTGGAGAAGCATCACTCGGCCGAATATCAGGCTGCGATCGCTGACCATGGTTGGGAGAACATGCTACCGTCAACCAGCCGCGAGAAGCTTCTGCAAGAGCGCACATCGAGGGAGGGCCGCCTGGTGTTCACTATTCCCACATTTCACAACCAGCTCGTTAAGGTTATCGTCTACAACGACCTGGTGCGTCTATTTTATCTTTACTGCCTTGCGATATTTATTTCCTCCACAAGCGGTAAACCTTGTCGATAATCTCGAATTCCGGAACCTGTTACTCATGCTGCGTGAAACCCTCAAAGACACGGATATCCCACATCGCACTAAACTTCGATCTCTCATCATCGACGCCTGGCTCGCATATTGGCATGAACTCAAGGCTGAACTAGCGGTGAGTTTTTCTTCGTCTGCTTTGCGTCTTTCTCTCAGATAAAATAGGCGTCGTTGGGCAAGTTGAGCTTTACGGCGGATATGTGGAGCAGCGCCGGAATGCACCCGTATCTTGCAATCACCGTGCATTGGCTGTCACGCCGTGAGGACGAGAAGGTTGTCCTTCGCCAGGCACTCCTTGCCTTTCGCCGTGTTCGGGGTGCACACAGTGGTACTCGGCTCGCGCGAATTGTCATTCATATCTTTGAGTGCGCGGGCATTGTTATGAAAGTATGTGAAAATTGTTAATTCGGTGTTTCTTCAAGTTCGTTGATGTTTACTTATAGGTTGGGCACTTTACCATGGATAACGCCTCTGTGAATTCAACATTTTTGGAACATCTCGAGACGGAGCTTGCGATCCGCGGCAACTTAGATTTTGACTCGAAGAACAACTTCATACGCTGCTTCTCCCATACCATCAACCTCTGTGCTCAGGCAGTTATCAAGAGCATGTTGAAGGATGATGCTGCCGATCGCTACTCCGACACCGAGACCGAGGACGCGACAGCCTCGGATGACTCAGATGCCGAACCAACGCCTGTGCCTCGGCGCCGCACCACTCGGAAGGCCGGGCCTATTCAGCGCGCACGGAAAACCGTAGCATTTGTTCGGAAGTCTGGGCAGCGTCGAGATGAGCTCCTGGATATCGTTGAGCGAGGGAATGAGACGCATACGTGGTGGGAGATTGAGGCGGGAAGCGGTGTGAGGGTCACAATCCTTCTGAAGAAGGTTGTTCTTCTCCCCAGCGTCAAGACTCGATGGGATTCGGATTTTTACATGCTGCGTCGGCTCCGCTATTTGCGCCAGGTAAGGTCGATGTTCTCCAGTGTTGTTTCTAGTCATCCTCATTTGTTTCAGCCGCTGCAACATTTCTTCCTTACGAATCGCGATGCACGGGACTTCAAACACAAGCTCACCGATGAGCATTGGGATCGTCTTGAGTTGATGGAGTTGATTCTTGAGGTGTGTCACGCGTACTTTGTGTTCTCAGTCGCTCACTATTCGTAGCAACCGCATGTTGTTCAGAGCGTGATGGCCGCTGAGAACACACCCATGCTTGCGGCAGCCATTCCCGCATTCGAGCTGTTCGTCAACTCCTGGGAGGCGATGAAGGCCGACAATGAGCTTGAGTTGCAGAACGTGACTCAGTTTATCGAACCCGGTCTCGCCATCGCCGAAAAATACTACAATAAATTTGAGGACACCGACGCATATCTTATCTCGATGTGTATGTTGTTCATTCATCAACACTGAGTTCATTTTCTTAATATACAACAGTTATCAATCCTTCAATTCGATTTGAATGGTTCCGGAAGCATTGGTCAGCATCTGAGCAGCGCAATGCTAAGGCGAAGATTCTTGAGAGGGTATGTCCTGTTCCATTTCACTGTCCGAGTCGCCTACAGCTGAATTTATTTGATAGCTCAAAACATACACCGTGACGGACGTTGAGGAATCCGCACAACAGCCTGCGGCCCCGCATCAATCTCGCTCTCGAGCTGTTCCCGCTGCGCTTGGGGTCACGAGGTTGGCTCAGCGATACCGCTCCGGCACCAACGCACTCGACTTCTCAACCGGAGGCAGCCGCTCGCAGTCCACTGGATGGTCAGCTCAAGCGGAGATAGACAATTACATCTCAAGCCCGATTCCGCCGCGAGCATCAACTGACATGATTGTGTGGTGGACAGTGAGTAGCAATTCTCTGGCTTGAATTGATTTGACGCTCTGTTAACTCTAGACAATTGGTTTGAACACGTGGCCACGAATTTACCGACTTTTCCTGGATTATGCGCCGATCCAAGCAACATCCGTCCCCTCTGAGCGCGTGTTCTCATCCTCTGCTCAGACCGATACCAAACGACGAAATCGCATTAGCCCAGTGCTCATGGAAGCTCTCCAGATGCTCAAGTTCACGTACAAAAAGTCGCGCTTAGACTTTATGTCTGAATTTAGAGCGGTCCCCGAGTTCGACACAGAGGAGGATTGGTTGCATGTTCTGGGGATGGAGGAGGATCCAGAGAGGCAGGATAACATCCGGAGAGAGATCTGGGATGATACTGACCTTGGGGACGGTCTGTATTTCGCAATGCCGGAAGCGGAATTTGATTGAAGCATGTTTATGATTTTTCGTAGACTTTACATCTTGAATCGCAATGTATATGCCTTCTGAGTGACTGGGAGATACATCCGAGCATTCTGAAGGGTTTTTGAATTTTTGGGCCCGACTGAGTCGACTCAAGTCGACTCGCGAGTCGAGTCGAGTCGCAACTCAACGACTCGCGAGTCAAGTCGAGTCATGGTACTCGACTCGTCCGACTCTATGAGTGACTCACTCGACTCGGTGAGTCGCGGCAACATTAAGTGCGGCTCTTCAGCCATCGTCTCCCATCGCTTGATGAGGAACTCAAGCGTTGGGATGACACGATACACAGTAGGTGTGCGCTCGCTCGAGAAGCTTTGGGTAGCATTGGTGGGCTCCTACAATGATTTTATTCAAACTATTACGGTAAGACGTGAGCGGATCGAACTCGCAGTGCCTCACGGACAACTGTTAGCTTGTCCCACTCTGACCGGCTGAGCTTGTACATGCTGTACTGCTTGCTTCTCAGCGGAAGGGCATCGTCGCTCTCATCGGCGCTGAGAACAAAGTGGTCAATGGCCTGGGATTAAGCATTAGCTTGACAAGTTACTCGGGGACAACACGAACCTTTCGGAGCATAACATCTCGATCCAAACAGGCATACAGAGATGTCCATCGAGTTCGAACCCAAAGCCGAAGTCGAAGCGCCGGGAGACCGCACAGCCGGCAGCAGTGTTCAAAATATGCGCACGCTTGCGGGGACGCGAGAAGCTGATGACGGTGTCGTGAGAGAAGTCGAGGTTTCCGGGCGAAAGTACCTGCCTGAGTGATAAACGCAAGGTGCTTGTGCCATGGGAACTGAGTGCTGTGGCCTGGAATGTCGAGGGGATTGGGGGTGTGGTAGAACGGGCGCACACACTGCTTTAATACAATGAGTACCCGCTACATCCGAATGCAGAATGGAGGAGGCTGCGAGTCGTGTTTGAGAGAACTGCCCGCACGATGTCGCCAGCACATTGCTTTTGTATAGCCAGAGGAGTTCGGCGCCTCTGCTCGGGATCCCATGGCGGATACATGGCTAAAAAGAGTAAAGCCAAGTGCGGAGCGTCACAGAAAAACACGAAGATCAAATAATTGTAGACATCATCCACGACGATCCACTACCGGGAGACGTCCGAGACGATGGAGAGAAGAACCGGAGTAGACGAAGGACCGAAGAGCTGCGAGACGCCACCTCGTGACCAGACACAAGAGGAACGTTAAGTAATTCGTGGTGTCACAAAATATGGACGGATCGGCGAGGTTTTTTCTCTCAAAATTGGTTGAGGTTCGCGGTTCGAACCGGGTTCGGGTAGAAGCCCATGGGGCCGAACCCCGAACGCCAGGTCCGGTTCAGAGACAATGATTTGCTGAACCTGAACGCCGAACCTGCGGTCCGGTCCGGTCCGGTTCGGGTTCGATTATCCGAACCGAACTTTAACATCACTAGTACTGGTCTACCAAAAGATTTGCATGACCTTGAAATAGGTAGCTTGTGTCAGACTTAAATGGAGATATTAAGGCGTGTGGTGGTACCGGGCGGATGCCCCGCCTTCGCGCTCGCCTTCGAGTGGTGCCTGGTATGAAATCAACTCACTTCAGTCGTAGACAGATGGACCTGGTCAGAAGCAAAAAAGAACGTAAATCTCTCTATATTTAATCTATGTAAAATCACAGCAGATGATATATGTTGTTGAAGCAACTCTCTATTGCTATATTTTTGAACAATAACACATTCGATATGACAAATTATTGTTCGTCCTTGTAATGAAAATTTGATGCACAAAATCTAAAATTCGGGTGCCTACTAGTACGTACCTTACGGTAGCGGGAATCAAGCCGAACTTGTACTGTCATTGAAGCTTGACTAGTATATCGGTGTAGTACATGCGCTTATCATGTGCTATTCTTCCCACGTTGTAGCGCCGAAGCTGGGTTCGACTCCCAGGTCAAGCCTCTCTTTTCCTTTTCCTTTTGTCTGCTAGCTGCTCAGACTGCCAGTGGTGCACGTGATGATGTTGGGCATAAGGCACACCTCGGGGGCCGTTTGCGGTTCACGTTGAGCTGGTGCCCATGGCCGTGCATTCCCTTATCGTCCGAATCATAGGCAATAGCGAGCGCTGGGCCAAAGTCAGCATACTGGGCTGTGCGCACGTGGTGGCTGAAATATTTAGGCCAGGACACTGATCAAGCGATTAAACAGTTGAAACAGAGAAGGAGCTGTCTCAGAAGTATAGTATAATAGATATCCCACTTTCTCACAAATCTCCGCAGACAGCGGCAGGCTTACGCCTCCTCATTGCTTCCAATATCTATCGCTTCTATATTATTTGATCTAGAGTGGATATAAAGGGATTTACATCCCATCTTTGTTCCTGACCAGGCCCATCTGTCTGCGACTGGAATAATTGGTTTCATCAGGCACTGTTCACGATTTCGACACAATCGAAATCCAGCACAGCACCAGCTTCACAGTATAAGTAGGCTGCGAGTTTGGCATCTGGATTCATCCTCACGCCGAAGATGACCTGTCCTCCCAAGGGTTTCATATTTCTATTCGACTTTAAGAAAAATGTGGGCAAAGGGATTTTGACGCAGCATTGACGTTGACGCATGCAACGTCAATCAAAACGTCAGTATGCGTCAGTCAAATTTCTAAGCGACGGTGAGCTCCATTGGGATAGTCGCTCAGACCTCGCCGAGCATAGAGGCACTTGCATAATGTGTTCCTACACGGTTTGCGGGTGGTAGACACACTGATGACTCGCTCCTGACACGCTGGAGACACTAAAAAAAAAAACTTGCTGCGTCAATGAAACACTGGTATGCGCCGGTCTGCGTCAACCAAACAACGTCAAAGCTCAGATGCGTCAAATTTCTGCGTCAATTTGCGTCAATTTAAACTTTTGCTGCGTCAGTCATGAATTTGCTTGCGTCAACACTAACATCAGTCTGCACCAGTCTGCGCCGATCCTGCACTTTCACAACGTCAATAAGTCATCTCTGCGCCAACTCTGAACGCTGACATGCGCCGGGAATGCGTCACTCTAATATGGGTCTCCAACTCAATAATCTAAACCAACACTTGCCGACGTTGCCGATAATGCAGACACCAACGTCATAAATACCCTCATGGTCGCGTTTTTCTACGCGCTTGGGGCGACCGCCGACCACATCAATGACCTTCAGTCCCCACACGCGGCACTGGCGCGCGAAGGGTTTTAATTGCCAACATATTGTTTTTATGTGCTCATTCCATCGCTATTCTAATCTTCTATCATTTTGCATTATAGAACTACCTCACGCAACGTTCGTTCTCAAGAGCGACATGAATTTGGGTACCAAACTGACCACGTGACCGCGTGCTGCCGCATCGAATCCTGGCGCTCGCAACATTCGGAGGGTTGATCAGGCACTGGAATACAAGTCAAATTATATATTATTGAGCATATTATTTCTTTTATTCATTCACATATTTACTTTATTTTTACACAACATTTGTACAGGGTGCGCATGCTCCCATCTATGAGTCTTCGAGTTCTTGAGTTCTGAATATTCCGCGCCTAGTTTCGAGTCCTTACTCCGGGAACGCCCCTCACGTTCCTCGACGAATTGATTCAGCTGAGTTTTTGCTTTTGGTTCTGTTAAAAACTGCATTTGGACACAGCGATCAAAAGCCGTCAGCGTCGTCAACGGCGATGAGCACGAAAAAGTTGCTTGAAAAAATCATGAGAAATTTTATCATCATAGTATCGGTAGGGTAAATACAAGTAACCTAATACCTAATCTGGAATACATAAGGTACGGCGGTCTTACTTAGTCGATGCGCACGCCGGTATGCGTCAGTACACAGCCACTATGCGTCAACGTTACTCGACGACAATTGACGCATTCACAAAAGGTTTTTTGAGGAGAGTGGATTAAATGCCTTTGATACATCTCAGGTGCTCCAGGTAAGCACCGGAGCCCATTATTTTGTGCTATCATCAAGTTATTCACAAAATAATCCTCGCACCTATTTGAACTCTAAGCCATATTAGTACTAATTTAGCACATATTCACTCAAAATGTACATAGTAGTCACTTATGGAATATAAGCGACCCGTAAGTTTGTTTAGCTCGTTGGCTGAACCAATTTAGAGCTACCACAATGGACTTTGACGAATTTTCGTCCAAATCACGTGATTCTCTATCACTCGAATTGGGGCCACTATACGGCAGGGAGGCAGTCAGAAGTCTACTGGGGCATTTAGCGGCACGATTGCCGTCGCTGTGATCCCGCATAACCGTATTTGGAACACAGCGATCAAAGTCCTTTGCCGTCGTCGACGACGATGAGCACGGAAAAAGTTGGTTCAAGAAAAAACTGTCAAAAAAGCTGCGCCAGCCCAGCATAGCGGATAGCAGGTGGTAAAGCTGAAAGAAGGAATGCACCGGTCGTGCGTCATCACGCGCACGCCGGTCTGCGTCAATACACAGCCACCAGCATCAGTTGGATTGACGTTGACTGACGCATCCATAGATGTTTTTTGAGACCAATGTACGGAAGGATTCCCTGATATCTATTGGAGGTCATGGTAAGCACCGGACTCCTTCGTTCCAAATTATTCGCAAGCGTCAATGTGCAACGTCAATTGGGCTGTGCTGCGGCAGTGCATGCGTCAATCTAAATTTGCATGCGTCAATGTAAACTTGCATGCGTCAAAAAAACGCCGCCTGCAACGGCAGAACGTCACTTTCCCCCTGCCCGAAAAATGTGCTGGACAATTCAAACTCTGGCACGGTCGCAAACAATCCAGTGATTTCTCAGATTTTCAATTCCCCGGAGACTTTTAACCAGCAGGTAAAGTCATCTGCTATAAACTTGATATGTGGCTCATCTCTCCGTAGTGGCAATTTAACTTGAACGCCACGACGGGCTTTTACACTATTGGAAACGGAGTCAGCGGCGGAAATGCACTATTCTTGTCGTATCCCGCGGCCACCACCCCCAACATGCTGAAAACCTTCGACCAAGCAAGCATGCAGCTCGGCGGCCAAGCCCTGAATTTTATTGTCGACTGCACCGGCAGTAATACCGCATTGTGCGTAAAACTCCATTTGTATCCGGACAAATGATCTTGAATGTCTTCAGCATCTTGGACGCTGTATTCGAAACCGCCTTGACGTCTTGGGCTCAAGAGTCATCAACAATCACTCCGGTACATGAGATACTTCAGAGCGTTCGTTGTTGACTTAATACTCCCCTCAGGTTACCTACGAGGGGTTCGACGGCCGCCCGGAACAAGTCTGGACATTTTTGGATTAAAGTGGTGACGGAATTAAGGATTTGAATATTGGCAGCTCAACCTGTCATGGGCATCGAGGGAAACTGTGAATTGAAACACGAGCGGCAGCTCAACCTGCCAGTGCTGCCAGATCGAAATTGTACTTGTATTCTGTGTATCTTCGGGAACCATTTCGCCGGAGTTTGTCGTTTTTTCTTCGAGTTCCGAACGGATGGAGCATCGAACTGAACTGTTTTCGCATCCACTCGTGGTAGCCATTGACTCGCAATTGCCGAAAAATGCGAAGTGATAGTGCACGGCTGCTTGCCCAGAGAGGACCTGTGCGCTGAAATTTCAGGTTAACCTTGGTATTGGGTGAGCGATAGAATTCCCCGCACTGCTTTTACAAGAGTTTCCAAGAAAAAGATCTATGGGGAATTTTGTTGAAGGATGAGCGAATTGCAATGCATTACCAGTTTCCCCACTCATGAACGGGAGGGTGATACATTTTTTTGGGTGAATATATAGTGTACATTGTTAGTGTCCAAATCCACTGCGATGAATATGTCATTTTTGCTTGGTAGTTCATCCATCACATCACGGCCATCAGTTGCCATGTGAGCGCAACCACAGGTGTGGGTCTGTAACAGCCGAGATGCGGCATTACAAACTCCTCGAACGACATAGCTGCTACTTTTAGGTGAATAAAGAAGAAATCTATTTCGTCATGAATGCAATGCCTGTGTTGACACCTTTGAAGTAAGTCTTCAAAACCATGTAGGCTTTATTGATTACTGTTCTCATCCAAAGAGTAGAAATGTGAAGTCGGCTGTTGTAAAGGGTGTCCTACAAACGTAATAACCGCAGCGGCGCGGGCGCAGGACTACTGAATCTCGTAAGTAGTGCTGGCCAAAATTATATTATGGTTGATTATAATTTGATTATAATTGAAAAATTATGGATATGATATGGGCTGGCCATGGGCCGGGGATTATGTTACAAGCCGATATATTATTATTATAATATGGATATGTTACGATACGGGTCCGGAAATAATTGATTATTTCGGCTGCCTGGTACTTGGCCGCCGACGGCTCCGAGTCGTGAGATAGTTTCGACCGTTTTGGACAACGAACACAGAGATCATCCACAGAGGCAGTTGCGGACCTTAAAAAAAAAAACAGGTCCATCAACCTCCTCGTCACCAGCATGTCCCCAGGGCCATCACCTTCTCTAGAGGAAGATCTGGCCTCTTGGCTGGTGGAAGGTATCTTTTCATTCTTTTTTTTTCACTGAGGCATCCAAACCCTTTGAAATTCACATGGCTAGTTCACCCTCAAAGACGCTTAAATTCGCCTAGAAACTGAGTGGAATTCAATGGGTTTTGGTGAATTTCAACCTACGACATTTCACCCCGAAAACGACGCCTTTCACTCGGCCTGTTTCACATAGTTTTAGAGTGTAATTCATACCAATTCATCTTGAGTATTGGCTTGGCTGGAACTGAAAAATTAAATACAACCTAACTTAACTTCACTGGTGGAAGCAAAGGGTCAGTAGTAAGTCAAGTCAACTCAGTGGTCATGTTTGACAAGGAAGCAATCTATAAATGAAAGGTAAGTATTAGTAACTAGCAGGACTTCAACAGTCATGGCACACACACATACATACTCTATAAATAATTTTCAG